CCTGGCTCCGCAGTGGCTGTGCGGGACCCTGGGGGGCAGGCAGGGGCCCCGGGGGCAGGGAGCCTGAGGGGGGCAGGTCAGGGGCCCCAGGGGCTGGCGCTTCTCCCTGGGCTGCGCCTGTGCCCCTTGGAGCCCCGCGCGGGGAGCTGGGGGTCTCTGAGCACTGGCACATGCCCTGCGTGCTCCAGCGGACAGAGCGACCGCAGTCCTTCCTCCGCCCCCTCTCCCCCGGGGGCAAAAGAGAGCGCCGCTGCGTCCCCCCGCCACCCGGCAGCGCTTCCCCCCTCCCGGGCTCTCTTCGGATGCAGACCCCTCCCGGGGATGCCCTGTGTGAACGGTCAGAGTTGCGTTTGACTCTTTCTGCTCATTTTCAAAACCCCCAGTCCTCTTGTGCACCTGCACGTGCACAGCGACACGCTGGCCGGCGCTGGGCTGTGAGGCCTGACCCTCTTGTGAGCCCCCGCCACCCGGCAGCGCTTCCCCCCTCCCGGGCTCTCTTCGGATGCAGACCCCTCCCGGGGATGCCCTGTGTGAACGGTCAGAGTTGCGTTTGACTCTTTCTGCTCATTTTCAAAACCCCCAGTCCTCTTGTGCACCTGCACGTGCACAGCGACACGCTGGCCGGCGCTGGGCTGTGAGGCCTGACCCTCTTGTGAGGGCTTCATCCTGCTACAGCCAGTCTCTTTTGCCCCAGGAAAGTGCGTTTTCCTGGCCGGTGCTCAGCGTGCTGCTGAACACAGACACCCTGGGACCCCTGCCTCAAGTTTTACCACCAGGAGAAGTCCATGTGGGTCAGTTGCAGACGAGAGCGAATCTTCTTCTGGATCAGACGGCGCTCCCGTGAAGTTGTCCTTGGCTAGCGTCTGTACTAGCCAGCACAACGCTCCAACAGCCAGTGTGGACAGGAAATTGGCACCAGAGAAAGAGCCGGTACTGCTGACCTTCGCCTCCGTGACCCTGGTTTCAAATCCAGCACCCAGAGACGAGAGAAGTTGTAGCACGGAGGGAGACACAGATCCAGGAACTATTCAGCCTCCTCTTGTATAGAAAATCCCCAGCCTTCCAGAGAGAAGATTGCTAAATGCTCTACAGTTGCAAAAACTTTGATCATAAGCTTGGCCCTGGACGTACATGTCCCAATACTCGTCTTCGCGCCATCTCTAGGACTGATCCTGAGCAGAATTGTGAACGGAACCTGTCAACTCCCTATTAGAGGAACCAATATCGACAATGGTCCAAGTACCACGGCCTTCATCGGCACCGATGGGTGCTCCCATCACGGCTCCGAAACTGAGGCCAACTTGTACAGCCATAGAATCATAGGACGCTAGAACTGGAAGGGCTCTTGAGAGGTCATCGAGTCCAGGCCCCTGCTCTCATGGCAGGACCCAGCACCGTCTGCTCTAGACCATCACTAGATGCCACCGAGGATACTTTCTCATCATCCCTATGTCTAGGGCACTCATTCTCGCTGATCTCTGGCAGAGAGCCCTTCTCTCCGAGGGACAAGGGAAGACCCTAGAGAATGGGCCAGAGCTCGGCTGGGGAACCTTTTTTAGGTCGAGGGCCGCTGACCCACAGAAAAATCAGTCGGGGGCTGCACACAAGTGAGAAGGAGCCCGGGGGCTGCACACAAGTGAGAAGGGGCCCGCAACTGAGAAGAAGAAAGACAGTCCCCATGTTCCCCTCCCGCACTAGAGTCTAGGCAGGCCCAGCCTACTGGATTTTGTGTGCTCCAGCCCCACGGTGATGCAGTGGGTGGGTTGGAGAGTCAGTGCAGGCTCCCCACTGCTGAGAGGAGCCCTGAGCCTTGGGGGCTGGATCCAGGCAAGCCAAGGGCCGCATCCGGCCCCTGGGCCGGAGGTTCCCCACTCCTGGTCTAGAGATTCATTTCTTCAGTCTCTCTGTGGGTGGCGTTGGATTGGCCAACCACAAGCAAACTAACAGGGCCAGTATGACATGCCACTCCCATGCTTCTAGAGCTGTTCTTGCTATCCTAGAGAGAGAAGATGAAGGTCAACAGAGCAAGGAGCAATGGTCTCAAGTTGACGTTGGGGAGGTCTAGGTTGGATATTAAGAAAAGCTATTTCACGAGGAGAATGGTGAAGCACTGGGTTCGGTTCCCTAGGGCGGGGGTGGAATCTCCATCTCTAGAGGTTCTAAGTCCCGGCTTGACCAAACCCAGGCTGGGCTGATTGAGTCGGGGTGGGTCCTGCTTTGGGCCGGGGTTGGACTCGATGGCTCCTGGGGTCTCTTCTAACTCTAGGATTCCATGATGCTGATTCTAAGGTTGATCTGGGCACCTGTAGTCAAATTGCCGCCGTATGACTTGGGAGAAGAGGAGTAGGGAGTTGAGGCTGAGCGCGTCTCATTTAAACTGTACGATGGAGAATTCCCAGACATTTGGCAGGAAGAGTAATAGGATATAAACAATTGAAGAATTCCTATACATAATATAAAGTGGCATCAAAGAATTGCTCAGAAGAAACAAACGTTTTCAATTACCGTCACAGTGAAAGACGTTTTTTTAACAACGCGCTGTAGCACCGCAAGAGGGAACCAACTTCTCTGCCTGGTTGCAAAGCCCAGTTTGCCCAGTTGTCCCTCCTTTTCCTCTCGCTGGTGGCGCGCCATTGCTGCCACGCTACAATGGCTGCCTCTCTTTCCAACAGGGGCACCAGTGAACAGCCGCTCCCTACCCATTCCCAGGCACCCAACCGGTATCTCTCTGCCAGTGTCCCAGTGGCCACCTCCCTGGCCGTGTACTCTCTGCCCCTCGCGGCAGGGCTCCTTGCGTGCCGCAATCCAGCGTGGTCTCCCCAGCTTCCTCAGCAGAGCCCCTCTTTGCCTCAGTGCAGTCTTGTTTTACTTCCTCCTTGAGCTGCCTCCCCACCGCCAAGTCTGTGTCGGATTTCCAAGCTAAGTAGCAGTTCGGCAGAGAAGAACTTGGGGATGACAGTGGATGAGAAGTTGGAGATGAGTCAACCGTATGTCCTTATAGCCCAGAAGGCCAATGGTCTATTGGGCTGCATTAGTAGGAGCATGGCCAGCAGATCCAGAGAAGTGATAATTCCCCTTTATTCGGCTCTGGTGAGGCCACATCTGGAGTATTGTGTCCAGTTCTGGGACCCCCACTACAGAAAGGATGTGGACGCATTGGAGAGAGTCCAGCGGAGGGCAACCAAAACGATTCACCTTCATCGCAAAACGATTCAGGGGCTGGAGCACGTGACTTATGAGGAGAGACTGAGGGCTTGGGGCTTGTTTAGTTTGCAGAAGAGAAGAGTGAGGGGGGATTTGAGAGCAGCCTTCGACTTCCTGAAGGGAGGTTCTAGACAGGATGGAGAGAGGCTGTTCTCAGTGGTGACAGATGGCGGAACGAGGAGCAATGGGCTCAAGTTGCAGAGGGGGAGGTCTAGCTTGGATATTAGGGAGAATGATTTCCCTGGGAGGGTGAGGAAGCACCGGGATGGGTTCCCTAAGGAGAGGGTGGAATCTCATCCCGAGGGGTGTTTAAGTTCCGGCTTGACACAGCCCTGGCTGGACTGATGGAGTCGGGGTTGGTCCTGCTTTGGCAAGTGTTGGACTCGATGCCTCCTGAGGGTTCTTGGGATTCTATGATTCTCCTCTCCCGCATGAACTGCCCTCTCATTGGCCGTCTCTCCTCCCTAGGACAGCTGCTACGACACATAGGCCACAGCATGGCCCTTGTTGGTCCAGATATGCCGCAGCTGAGGTGGCAGGGCGATGCTCAAGCTGAAATCGAACATGCTAGATTTTCCAATGTGGTCAGTATTTTGAAATAACTTATTCCACGTCTACACAGCAGGCAGTTATTTTGAAATAATATTGAAATCCTGTCAAGCCGGAGGACTTCTTATTCCGACTCCTGGAACCCTCAGTGTACGAGGAATAAGGGAAGTCAGAGGGAGAGGGCTCCATTTCGAAATCAGTGCTGTGTATGTGGAGAAATCCCTGTGATATTATACTGTGTATTAAGATCTTGTCCTTTTAGATATATCTTTAAGTATTCTTATAGAATCTCTGGAACATTTCTCCTCTAACTTTGTATTAAGATATACAGATCTTGTAAGAAAAAAATGTCTTTTGAGCTCTCCTCTTTCCTTGATTGCCCTGTTGAAATGAATGAGGCGTGAATGGAGAATGAAAGGGGAGCACCTCCAGCAGCAGTTGCAAGGGTGGAGAGGGTCTGGGAGCCAGACCCAAGATAATACCTGCAAAGTGAGCTCATTAAGAAGACTGGACATACAGACGCCTTGGGAGTGAAGCAGCAAGTGCCTGCCCTTGGAAGAACTCTCTCTGAAGCAGCATTAAGAAAGGCCAGTTGATGTCTAATTGGCTGCATGAGAGGGATAAATAGGAGGCATCTTGCAGAGGGACCCCTGGTTTTCGTCTTGTCAACATGGGAGCATCGATCCGGATCGGCAGAAGTCCGGCTCCACCTCCTCCCCCATCTAACTCACCTGGCCAGTGCAGTTAGGGGGAGCAACTTTTGGTAAAAAGAAGATGGAGTGTGCTTGTGTGTGTGTGAGAGTGCATGATATGCATATGATAAGTATTGATTATTCTATGTGTGATCAATAAATGTGGCATGTTGCCTTATCCCTCTGAAAAAGATCCCGAGTACTTCTTTTAAGTACAACATGTAGACGCTCCCAATTTAGAAATAAGCTATTCTGAAATAAGCTACGCCGTTGACGTCGCTCAATATGCAGAGTTTATTTCAAGTTCAGCCCTGCTGTGTAGACGCACCCGAATTCGAGCCAATATTTTACTGGGCTCTAATAATGAAATCCCCTTTTCACTGGCTTTGGGGATTGCTCATTTTTAACTTTAGGGTTTTTTCCCTCAGGTCTGTGTGGACTTGTGTGGTTCTTTCCTTGGCTGGTCAGCAGGTTCATTAATTAACCAGGAGGCGCCTAGATCTGCAAGCAGTGGCTTTGTAGATGACGTTCAGCTATCGGCAGCTCCTGGCATGTGTGGAATAAAATGGCCTGTCTTGCAGATAATGAATGTTAACAGCATGAAGGCCCAGCAGTTACACTAGCGAATAATCCAAATCAAGATTTCTTATTGCATTCGCTTATCAGTGATCAGTTCTGCACCCTCCCCCTTCTCCCAGCTCCCTGCTCTGAAGGACCCAAGCAACACCAGATCAGTCTTCTAATAATAGTGAAGCAAAGACTTCAAGGGAGGAGGCAGAACGCACCAGCCCCCATGTTTGCTCCTCCTGCCCCTTCCGGGTGGAATGTTGCTTTCTGTTTGCCCTCTCCCCGCCCCGTGCTCCCTTCCCCCCGAGAAAGGACTGAGAGACTCACCCCTTTGGTGGAAACTCTTACGGTTAGCGATTGATGGGGTATAAACTCTTCCCCGGTGTTCCAGGGAATGACTTGTGTCTGCGTTCTCGTTTTCTTGCAGATGGGTCGGGGATGGGGGCTGACCCTGCGGCCGAGCGAGCTCAGAAAACCCCCAAGACCGTGGAATCTCTCAAGGCATTACCAGCAACGTTCAGTGAGACCGATTCCCGGGGTCCTAACAAAGGGGATTCCTCTGGGAGTCCGAGCAGGCCACGGTGGCAACAGGGGGGTGCGGTAGGAAAGAGAGCGAGTAAATCTGACTGGGGCCGGCCGAAAAGCCAGCCGAGAGAGAAACCCCACCAGTGCCCTCAGTGCGGGAAAAGATTTGCTCACAGCTCCCACCTCATCACCCACTGGCGCGTGCACACGGGCGAGACGCCCCACCAGTGCGCCGAGTGCGGGAAGAGGTTCAAACACCGCTCCTCCCTCAACACGCACCGGCGCGTGCATACCGGCGAGCGGCCCCACCAGTGCACCGAGTGCGGGCAGCGCTTCCGGCACAGCTCCCACCTGAGCACGCACCGGAGAGTCCACACTGGCGAGAAACCCCACCAGTGCGCCGAGTGCGGACGGCGCTTCCGGCACAGCTCTTCCCTGAGCACGCACCGGAGAGTGCACCTGGGCGAGAAACCTCACCAGTGCGCCGAGTGCGGCCGGCGCTTCCGGCAGAGCTCCCACCTGATCACCCACCAGCGCGTCCACACGGGGGAGAGGCCCTACCGGTGCGCCGACTGCGGGAAAACCTTTGCGGGCCACTCAGCCTTCGCCACCCACCAATGGATCCACACCGGAGAGAAGTCCCACACCTGCACCGAGTGCGGGAAGCGGTTCCGGCACAGCTCCTCCCTCGGGGCCCACCGCCGAGTGCACACGGGCGAGAAACCCCATCAGTGCGCTGAGTGTGGGAGGTGCTTCCGGCAGAACTCGCACCGGGAGAGCCCCTTCCGCTGCCCAGGCTGTGGGAGAGGGTTCAGCCATGGCACAGAGCTCATCCGACACTGCAGGAAGGTGAGTCCCAAAACTACCAGGAGCGGGATACAGAGACAGTGTTCCCTCTCATGTTTTCCCATCCACGTGTGGAATACATTTTATTGTGCGCGCTGAAGCATGTGCCGATGTGCACCACCAGTAAACACACATGCTCTGGGCACTCTGCTAATCAGCTGGGCAGCATTTAACTCTCTCCTGGGTGGCCGCTCAAGGGTACACAGGGAACATTATACAAGGACACTGACGTTAGCGAGGGAACAGTCTAGAATGACGAACAGTTCTCCAATCCGGCGTTCCTTTTTTACACTGCTTCGCTGTGAGCGCCACCCCTCCCGATCCGTCCCCACGGGGCCTGCAGCATGCAGTCACGCCCAGTTATCGTGTGTGAGTGCTGCTGCTTTTGAATTACACTGCAGCGCGACCCCTGCGACCTCCCAGCCCCCGACTTCCCGCAATGTGTGTGCCTTGTACCGCCCGGCCCTCGCCTGGACAGTGCGAGCTCATGCAAAGCTGCCCCCTCGTTTTATTAATAGAAAATGGTACGCCCCGTGTCACGGCTCACAGGTCGTGCCCGCACTTGGCTCCTGGGCGGAACCCCACTCTCCAGTGCGGCAGCCCCTTCTTGGGGGGCCCCTCTCACCTGGGGGGGTCCGCCCCTCCGCCTCCGGGACGGCGCCTCTCAGGGCCTTCAGCCGCCTGACTCTGCCGTGAGCCCCTTCGGGGGGTCCGCTCCCTCTGGACCCCTGGGGCCTGCACTCCCAGAAGGAACAGCACCGCCCTGTTCTCTAGACCAGAGCAACTATCAGCCAGCACAAAACAGAAGGGTTTATTGAGCTTTGAACACAGCAACGGGGTCTCTCAGGCCTGTAGACCTGGGCTCTCAGCCCACACATCAGCCTCCCCCTGCAGCCAGCTGAGTCCTGCCTGCTCTGCCCCCAGTCTCCCAGCAGAGCCTCCAATACCCCCAGCAACAGCCCCTCCCCGTCCATTGTCTTCTCCCCAGGTAAGAGGGTCGCCTGTTCTCTGCCTCTTCTCTGTCCAATGTTCTCCCCTTGCTGGTACCAGCTGGGTTGGTTGCCGGGGGTCACTCATTGTCTGTCATCTGGCCAGAACTGGCCTTGTCCTCTGAGCAGGGTCGGGGTCACCAGGGTCCCAGACGTCCCGACTCCGACTCTGGGCTGTTCTCTGAAACAACAACCCCCCCCCTTTGTTACATTAAACCAGCACCATTAAACCAGTGCCCCCCTGTATGCAACACCCCTCCTGAACCCCCAAAACTCCCCACTTCCTCACACCCCGCTCTTGGTATCCCAAATGGAGTTTCCCAAACGCCTCGATCCGAACACGCCACGTTAGGTAAAACAGTGAGCGAGTGTATTAAGTGCAAAAGGATTTTTGAAGTGACTATAAATCATAAGGCTAAAAGTCCGAATGGGTTATAAGAAAATAAAAGTGAAACGCAACGCAGCCCTGATTGACCAGGCTAGCACGAATGTAAAACAAAGTCTCTCTTGCCCTGTGTTACTGCAGCTCTACTGTCTGAATTTCCCCCTGTCCAGTGCAGCTTTTTGTCCTTCAGGTGTGGTGGATGCCGTGGATAGAGAAAAAGGGACGAAGAATTTAGGGGTCTCTGCTCTTTCTTCTTTGAGAATCCTCTCCAGCTGAGGTTCAGAATAGGGATGTGGGTGTAGTCAAAAGCTTATTGGTTAATGCTTAGACTGCATGCATTCCCTCCAACCCTTGCCAGTAAATTTTTTAGTCTGGCCAGCAGCTCGGTTCAGTCCCAGCTTGCGCCAGATCCTGGACTTAGCCCTGCTGCAGCTCTGCATTTAAAGTGTATTAGGAGCTGGGTGGGCAGGCAGCCTGGCTCAGTTCCAGCTCACATCAGGTCTGGGAGCTCAGACCACCCCCCAGGACAGGGTCTGCTGCTGCCTCTGTGTCAGGCAGCCAGTCCACGAGGGGGCTGGTTTTTAAACCGTCTCCCCTTGTGGATCAGCTCCCACCTGGCCCCCCGTGCTGAGACGGCTCCTTGGGAGTGAGGCCGGAGCACACTGGCTGCCGGTCCTGCCCCCGGGGACTATAGAATAATAAGAATTCATGAGGCTACTCGACTATTCAATGAACCGATATTTAACATCCCTAGTTCCGAACAGAAAGTCTGTGGGGAGGGGAAGCCCAGCTGTTTCTTTGTCAAGATGTAGATTTTCCCCAAACATCCTCTTAACTGCCAAAGAATGGCCACTTCACCAGGGAAGGTCTGTTTGATTTAGTTGATCCCTAGCTGACGTGTCTGCTGTGACTGCTCCCCAGACTTGAAATGAGACTTGAAACAAGTCTTTAGTAGCATCACGTGGTAGAACTTTATAACTTTGTAGACACACATCTTTTACCGGGACAATAATAGTCAGCAAATTATGGGTTTTGAAATGATACTACACGCGGCATTCTTTACACGAGGGAAATTAAATCCTGTTTAATTAATTAACTGGTTAAATATTAAGTTTAATTGTTTAACTGATTAAATGGGGGGGGCGCTCCAACCCACTGGACAGTGACCACCCCCGCGCACTGCAGCCAGCTTAGAGCAGCCCCCATGCTGTGGGAAAGGGCTGCTCTAGCCCAGCTGTCCATGGGTTGGTAGTGGCAGCCTCTCGGGGGGCCTGGCAGGCTGGAGCAGCCCGGTTAATCATTACCCGGGAAGCATCACCCATTAAGTGTGAGGCACAAACTCTCTCGCTGTGGGAGGCTGCTGTCTGTGCGGCGAGGGACCCGTTTCTCGGCCTGTCCAAGGATAAATCTTCAAAGCTATAGCATGGGTTGGACAGAGCCAAAATACGCCTGCCTCGGGGCATGAGCTGCCCTGTGGGGGTGAGCTAGCCCCAGCTGCTGTCCGCATGGGTGCGGCAAGCTCCCAGCTGCACCTCCGGCCCCGCCCCTTCTGCTGAAGGCCTGCCCCACAGAGAGGCGGGGTGGCATGCTCTGCCCTTTCCAACCATGGGGACGGAAAGGGAGTGGGCGGGTGTTTGCCCCAGCCCCAGAGGAGGGTGCCTGGCCCAGCCTCTCTAGCACCGGGAGGGCAGGCACTGGGGCAGCAACAGGGCGCCTACAGCCGGCGTTTTGGGGACGGAGTGGGGGTGGGGGCAGCGCTGCCCATGGCTGCCCCTGACCGTACACCCGGCCAGAGGCAGGCCCCCCGCCCCAGG